TTAATCATTTTTTGAAATAAATTTTGTATATGTAGATTTTTTTTAAATAACTAGTATCAAACTAGAAATAGTAAAAGATGGCCCTGCAATTGTTCCTTTTTAAGGCCTGGCTTTGTTTCTCTGATCTGTTACTCATTCAGCTTGCAGACTGTTCCTCTGCAGGTGTGGACAGATCTATATTTTAGTCTGAACTCAGGGATAGATACACCTTGCATTATTCTAGAACATGAGTTAGTGAACTCTTTCTGTTGAGGGCCAGACAATATTTTTTCTTTGGCTTTGTGGACTTTATCATCTCTGTGACAACCACTGGACTCTGCCACTGCACTCAAAAAACAATATACAAACAAACAGGGCTGGCCATGTTCTGATAAAACTTTATGGACATAGAAATTTGAAGTTCATATCACTTTCACATCTCATGAAATAGCATTCTTCTCTTGGCTTTTTCCCAATCACTTAAAAATATAAAAGCTATTAGGTATAATATTAGATAAAAATATAAAAGCTCATAGGTACAGAATTGGCAATAAGCCTTGAGTTGGCCCTGAAAAGATACATCCTATTTCCATTTTTAGTAAGTGGAACCCACACCACTGCCCTCAAACACACGTTTTCCCCCATTCTCATCCTGGGCACCAAACAGAGCCTCAAGCATATGTTCTTTGAAGTTAGATTTATCTTTTTATTCATTGATTTAGTAAGCATTTAAGCATCTATAAAGCATAAGATTCACCAGGGGACACAGAGATGAACAAGCTAGCACCCTGTGGAGCACACATTGGAGCTGGGGAAACAGACATCTACAACCATTACGATACAACGTGGAAAAGCCTTTACAATAGGGCCGTGTTCAAGTACAATGGAGGCATAGTCAAGGGAGGGAGGAATTAGTTCTGAAAGGACGAGGTGGGCAGGGAGGGGGTTGTTCACAAAGAGACACAAAAGAATTAGTGTTGAGGCTGGGCTTGATAGAAGAAGGGTAAAGGGGGGACACTCTCAGCATAGGATCCCGCCTGTGTCAGGAAGGTACAAGCCTGTCTCCGACTGGTGAGCTATCCCCCACCCTCCACCCTAGAGTAGGTAGTGGGGGATTGGGGGAGGTAGAGGGGAGTGAGACCCAAAAAAGAGGCTGGCTCGGATGATAGCCCATGCCACAGTGTCCACTGTTTGCTTTTTAAGGCATTAAAGTGTCACTACAGGTTTTCAAACATGGTAGTAATGTGATCGGCTCTGTGCTTTAGCAATCATATATTTAATGAGTGATGTGGAGGACGGATGAGAGCAAGGAGAGATTTCAGGCAGGGAAACTAAAAAGCTGACCTAACACTGAGTGTGGTTATGACTCAAGCTGGTGGAACCCTGTACGAGGCACCAAACCTCTCTTGAGCAGCAGCTATGTCCTCCCACTGTGCCACTGGACTGATGGTTTCAGAGGTCACTTCCTACCCTCACATGCTCTGGTTCTGAGACTTGTCCTTCACTCTTAGACAGCAGCCTCGTGGGTTCCTTCCAAATTGTGATCAAAAGTATTTCTTCCCTCTAGCATCCTCTTGATTTTTGCTATGTCTGTGCTAATGCCCAGTGACAGCTAGAAAATCCTGCCAATGGCATCTGGCACCATTTCTCCTGCTCTCTCCTGTACAAGTGAGTGTCTGGGAAGACAGAGCCACTGGTTGACAAGAAGGCAGGTGGCAAAGCTGGCAGGCAGAGATGCCCACCAAAAAGAGTGCTGGCCAGTGTAGGGATAGGGTCTGAGCCCCAGGGTCCTGGCCAATTTCAGGTGGACACTCACAGGAATACTAGAATTACAGCATAAATCAATTATATGTGTGTATAGCCCCTCCCAGATAGTCTTTTTCGCATTGAACTTCTCAGAGAATAGACGGGGAAGGGAATCGTTTCTCTATTCATTGAGAGAATTTGTGTTTCCCCAAAGGGTTTTGAAAGAAACACATTAAATGACACTAATAAAGTACAACTATCTGCATTACTTAAACCTCATTAAGACCAGAGCTCAGTATTTTAACTAGTGGCCCTGCTGACTAAACAAAGGGTGGAAACAAGAGAGATACAGATTATTCCCTGCTCAGAACATTTCCACTGGCTTCCTAGTACACCATGAAAGAATCTGAGCTCCCTAACACCTACCTCTCTGAAGCTGTCTTCTCCATCTGTCCCCATGTGCCCCAGGCTAAGTACCTAGGACTGCCTGCTGCTCTTAGACATACCAAGCTCATGCCTACCTCAGGCCCTTCCCATGGGTTACTTCTGTCTATAGTACTCTTTCCCCAGATCTTTGAGTGGCTGGATCTCTCCTTTTATTCAGATTTCTGCTTAAATATGCCTCATTATATGGGCTTCCCTGATCACTTTATCTGAATTAAGATATTCCCCATCCCACCCTGCTCTGTTTTCCTCTAGCAATATTGATTGCTTCATTTTTTCTTTGTAGCATTCATCACTGCAAATTGTATTATACATTTATTTAATTATTTTTTTCAACACTCCCTACTCTATAAGCTCTCATGAGGGCAGGAACTTTGTCTATCTGGGCGACTGCTCTATCCCCCTCTCCCCCTAGAAATATACCCAGCAACTGCTAGGTGCTCTGGTGATATTTGTTAAATTAGAAAGCTGCCCCATGAGAGGATGGTACTCAGAAGAGGGGATTCCTCTACCTATTTCTGAATGCCTGCCACATTTGTAATGTCAACAGTTCAGTGTTAATAATAGTTGTACTAAATATAATAAATATTCATGTAATTTATAAAATATAACACTAATGTTATATAATTAGTATCACAATAATATATAATAAATGTAATGTTAATATTAAAATAATGAACAACAATAATAATAATGAATAATAATCATTAAGCAACCATTTTATTAAGGTCTAACATTATACCAAGTGCCATTAATGTCTATCCACATTGTCTCATTTAATCCTAATTATAACCTAACAGGTAAGTAATATTATTTTCTCTATTTTTTTTTTTACTTAAAGACACTAAAATTAAGAAATCTGTTGAATTTCCAACACAGGTTTACCTGATTCTAACACCCTCTTGCTTTTCTTTGTGCAACTAACTACATACTGACCCAAACCATCTTGAAATGAACCAGACCAAAGCAGGAAAGCAGGAGATTGATTTGGTGGGAATCAAGCTTTCTAGCTAGAGAATGAAATTACAGAAAGATTGAGCACAGGCTTTGGGAAGCTGTTTTAAAACATTAAAGTGGGATGGGATAGCATTCACCTACTCAAGGGTACTCATCAAACAAAACAGAAAGAGGATTCAGCTTTACTGCTTAGGAAGCCAAAGGAATGTTATCTAGATCTCCTGGAGGCCACAAGACTCATCTTACAGAGGGACAGGCCTCAACTCATTGTCCTGCTTTATCCAGGTGGACACCAAAAACAATTTCCTGCAAGCTAATGACTCTCCACTAAGTCTGCAAGACCCCTGCAATGGAAGATCCCTGCAATGCAATATACTGCATGCTTAATTTGTATTCAGAAAGACCTTGCAGAATTACTCAGGCTCATTTTGGCTCTCAGGCCAAATGTGGAAAAGCAAAACCCAGTGGAGGATGAACAGGTGTGTCAAACTCATTATGATGACCAGGGCATCACGTCCAGGGAATCAGTGCCCACAGTAAACTGTGAACTAAACTGCAAACTCTGTATCTGGAAGCCACTTTTGTAAGACAGCTGCTCTCATATTCTTTTTGCTTAGATCATAAAAGTGGAGTTTCAATCCACTGGGAATACGAGGTGGAAAAAAAATCAAACTGATTCTGGTCCAACTTGGTCAGGAAAAAAAATAAGGGCTGATTTTTCCATCCAAGTCATGTAGTCTGGTTGGAGTGAATCCCACTTAGGGACAGCTATTGTCTGGATTCATCAAGTCTCATTCCTGAGGCCCAGGAAAAAGGAATTTTTCACTTCATTGCTCTGTCCTTCAGAAGAGTTGCTGAAGGTGACCATTTCTATCTTCTCCTGGGTGATTCCATAGAAATCATAAGATGGAATCTCTATAGATCATGTCCTGTGCTTCAGTGGAGAAAGACTAGTCTTTTAAAGCAGGCTCATCAAACAGGGGCATTGTTTGTTTCCCAGATAATAAGTGTTGGTGGGTTAATGGGTCATCTTCAGGAGAGAGGTCAGGAGGAACAAAAACTGCAGTGTTCAAAGCTGGAGCTAGAAATGCCAGCTATCAAAGAACACAGAACTCAATGAACAATGATGATGTATAGGGCGTGCACTCAACAGGCCTGTCTGAGAGGTCACATCTAGTCTCTATCTTCAGCAAAGCCACTGTAAGTCACTGAATACGAGACGATCCACTCTGTGAGGCCCTGGTGAGAAGCTGTCCAGGGAAACCCTGCTGCCTGTGCTGGGGAGTTCCTTTTCACTGAGGGAGAATTGTATTCCAGCTCTTTGCAGACTGACAACGCAAAGTACTTTGAACGTTGAAAAGAACAAAAAAAGCAAACAGTCACCAAAAAAGAGGGGAGGAGGGGGAAAGAGAAAGACACAGAAAGAGAGAGAGATATCAGCAGGGGTGGTTAGTAAAAAGGGACCCGGAGACAGAAAACCTTTTGTTCCCCGAGTTCGTTTCATGTAGAGATTCTGAGGTGAACGGCTTTGAAACGAAATGGGTTTTATAAAGGAGTTGCTGGGTCACAGGAAGCGCGACTGTTAGTTTGCTTTGTGAATTCGGTTTCTTTAAAACTTAATCTTAAAAAAAGAATTTATACCCTTTTCCTAGTCCTTCTTTCTTTTCTAATTGGGCGCGGCGGAGTGAAATTCAGGAGAGTTCCCCACTTTCTGTTTTATTTTCCACTCGCTTTGATAATGTAAAAAGAAATGCTCACATTACAAGTTCTTTGTCAGTCTTGCAGAGTGGGCGGGGCATGAGCAATACCTTGGCCCCACTGGCCAATGGCGGGGTGGTATGCAAATAAGGCTCGCGGTCGGCCTGCCTCCGTCAAAACAGTGAGCTCAGAGGCTTCGCGAGGGCGCCCTGCGACTGACAATCCGGCTCTACTCCGGACCCTTCTCACTTTCATCTAGCACTGCATTCAATGGAGGGGCGGACATTGCAATGCTTAATGGTGTCTAACTAGTGTAAGAAAACGGCTCAATTCCCCGCTGCCGAAATGAAGTATAAGGTAAGAGGGTCTGTTTTACAAAAGGTTTCCTTGGAAGCTGAGGGCTGTGTCTGCCTGTGTATCTCCCACTGTGACAACTCCTCCTCTGCACGGACCCCTTCTGTCTCCGGGAGAGTTCTGAGATGCTTCTTAGTTGCTGAGGTTGGCAACTAAGTCATACAGAGAGACAGTCTTCGAGACTCGCTCCGGGTCTGTACACCCGAGTCCATCTGCTCTGAAAGTTGCCGGAGAAAATGCCGTGGCGAGAAGTTAGACTTAGAGGCGGTTCACAGCAGCCACTGTAGATCAGAGGGTGTCTAACTTGAATCGCACCGTGAATTAGCTCAAGTCTTCGCGGCTTCCCCAGGCCTGGCCTCCACTGCTCTGGGGAGCCATAATAAGAGAGGAATCACAACTGCCTAGTCTCTCAAACTGGCTTTCAAAGCACAGTTTTTCAGCCTTTGCTTTAAGCAGTCTGATCTGAGAAAGAGTTTCTCATATGAGCTTTTTGGTGGGAGAAATTAAATGCCCAGACACTATTACACGGCTGAGGATGGAAAGTTTTGACATCTTTAGGTGATGCTGGATGTAAGAGTAAATGAATATTAGTCATTTCTATTACGTATCATTTCAGTAAAAGTGAAATACACTTTTATTGGAGTTTGAATGACCTGAGAGTATGAAAGCTCAAGCCTGAAAACTTATAGTGTCACAGTCATAATACTTCAGCAGCATTATTTTCCAATACATTTTGCGCCGTGGTTTATTCTTAGCAAAGGATTATGATTAGCTCAGCATATCCCCCCTCCCCTTTTTTAAATTCACCCCCATCTAAGGAGGCAAGCAGCTTCGAGGGGACACAAAGAGTAGAGAAGTAGATTGCAATGAAATGATTGTGGATTTTTCTTGGATGATAAATAGACATGAATCCCAGTGCTACTATTTTATTTTTATGCTGTTTTAAACAAAAGTGCTGTTATTAAAAAGAATTTTGGCAAGGTTGCTACACTTTAAAGTTGACAATTTGTATTGAGTGTCCGATCTTCAGGATTGCCCTGGTTGGAAGCTACTTTGCTTTCTTACCATACTTTTTTGATTTAAGGTTATAAATACTTGGTCTAGCTGAGAGTAACTGGCTAACCTCAGTAATAAACCCTTTGTTCAAAAGCTCTAAATCTTGTTCAAAAGCTCTAAATCTAAATGTCAAGTCTTTATTGTAATGCATGAGTAACAGTTCTTGAAAAGGTTACGAATGTCTGTAGACCCAGGTATCAGCTATCTCCTACTATCAGCTTCCATTATCTGCATTGGTAAGGAAAGATCAGAGGAAAAGATCGTCCTGAAGACCTTTAATATTTGACTTTGGAATGAAACTGGGAACAAATTTCTTTACCCGTATTTCCAGTTTCCTTATTTAGAACAGGGATAGGACTAGATACTACTCAGCCTGTAGTGATTTTGTTGTTGTTTTTCCTCCTCTCCTTGTTGTGGAATAAAAACTGGCTTAGGGAAAAAGGGGCAAGTATGTTCATACACACGTTATTGCCAAGTATAAATGGCGGAAATTAACCCTGAATTTACTCTTTATGAAAAGAAAATCTCACAACTGATGATGTAGATTTCCATTCACATTCATGTAGGAAACCGCCTTTTTGCTGGGTCTTACCTGTACTGAACACTCTGCCAAATGATTTAAATATAGGATTTTGTGGACACCTTTGCCAGAAAAATGCTGACTTCATCAACTGAACAAACGACACATTGACACCTTATGGTGACTATAAAAATGACCTAAGAGTTTGAGCAATCCACTTTCCTTTTCTTGTGAAGTCTACTTTCTCTCTGGTTAATAATGGACAGCTTTATTTCAAGAGAGAATTTTGTTATTTCAAGTAAAGGAGATGAGACAAAAGTCGTGCAGTGATAACATTTGATTGAGACCATGACAATCAATACCAGATTGTCATATTTAACTGTTTTCATAACTCAACAAGGTGGGTATTATTTTATACTCATTTTCAAATGGCACAGTGGGGCTAAGAAATTTATCTAAGGCCACATAGCTAGAAAGTAGTGAGCTGGAATTAGAACTGAGATGATCTGGCACTGAACTCATCGTGACTTGAACCTCTATTAAGAGAAAGAGAAATAATTTGAACTTCCTAACATATTCTTCTGAGTAGTGTTTTTTCAAGATTCTTTGATCCAGAGTATTCTTGCAGGATAGATTCTATTTTCTTTTTTTTAAGATAGCAACTGCAAAGCACTGTGAAATGCATGTTTGGCAGTTATTTGTTTAACTTGAGCCACTTATGTAGTAAAACCAGATAATTATTAGACTGTAAAATCCCGGAGACAGGGATTATCTCTAAAACACTATGTTGCTCTACAGACTATAAATTTAGCACGGACTTAAAAATGTTCATTGAGAGATTTATGAGTCAGGTCCTATAAGTTTTTTTGTTGTTGTTAACCTGATTATCTGGTTTGACTGCTTCAGGGAGCTTAACTACAGGACCACCAACCTCTACTCCTTTTGCACTTAATATGCACAATATACACAGCTCCAGGGCAGGCAGCGATGCGTTTGCAATAATCTAATGGTGAGAACAGTGGAATGTAAGCTATTACTTTGGATAAACCTTTTGAGTTAGCACATATGAAGTCTACCTTTATTTTATTGTATTTTTTTCTTTTGTCCACGGAAAGGCTGCAGTCATTGTCATGGGTACTTAATGCACCAGATTAAGTAAATTATGAGAGGTTAATTTATTAAACTTTCCGCAAAACCCCCTTAACATAGATAGCATGTTCTAAATGGGGAGTGGGAAGGGGTTGCCTCGATGGCTTCAGTTTGCTTGCCCAGTGAAGGCTTCTTTCTGAGAGTCTGGAGGTGGATGGGCATTGCTGTTTGCCAGGAGGGTGACAGGAGGGTCTCTGCTGCTGTTGTGTTTGAAGTTCCTGACTCTGCCCCCTTTGTGCAAGTGAGCCCCCCAGGCCCCGCCCACCTGAGGCTCAATCCTGGTGGCTGTTCCCCAGGCTAGTATCTGGCCTCCAGCCACTGAGCAGATTTCATGACTTTGCCAAATTTCTGCACCCTTCTGTGCCTACATTAAAATTCCTAATTATTCATCTAGTCTACCATACAACAAATTTATTCTTGAAATTTTGACTGAAGAAAAATTACAGATGTAACTTACAATATAATTAAGAAACTTACATTCTGGATTTCGGATTCTTGTGTTCTGGTTGAATGAGGTAGGTCAGGGAAAGGAGGTATGTATTATAATAAAAAAAAAAAAAAAACTTGTGAGGGCACTTGGAATATATTTTTGTTGGTCCCAAACTAGCTTGAGAAAAAAATGATAGAGGGTCTCTGATTTAGTCCATAGGTTCATCTATAACCTATGGCATTTCTAACTCTTTCCTTACTTTGATTTTTTGGTTTTAAATTTTTATTTTTCTCTGATTTTTTTTTTTTTGATACAAATTTGGGACTCCTGTCCCTCTCCTTTTTAAATCTTGTATGAGCGCTATGAATTTAAAAACATGTAAAGATGCTATAAGAAATGTCAACTTGCTTACTTATGAAATGTATGCATTTATTTATTTACCAAACCCATTTACAGATCTAAATGACTTACCTACACAGAGGTGAAACACTATAGAACTTAAGGCATTCCAATAATACCAAAGTTACCAAGTTGTTGGGTGTGTGGAATGCCAAGGATTCATTTAGCATCCTTTCCTTACTGGAACACATGTTGGTCCTGTTCTCAGAATTTAGTGGTTTCCTGTCTGCACACACACCCCCCTCCACAAACACCCAAGTCTTCTAAAAAAGAATCTTGCTCTGTACTTTTCAAGCCCTTTTGCAAATTCCCTCCCCTTTTTGTGCCTTGATGGCCTCATTGATTCTCTTTCTTCTTCAAGTATTCTTTATGCTTCTCTAATATCTAACTTCTATAGGGTTGGCACATGGAGGTTGGCACATGGAGGTGACCCTTTAATGCACATCCTATACTCTCACCTTTCCCTCTCCTTGGACTCTGCAATGAGAAATCTTGGTTCTTTTTGCCCCATTCATTTGGCCCTGTCTCCGTGCCTACATGACTAATAAAGTCTCCTCATCCATCCTCTCTATAAAACAATCAAAAGATTAAACCTTTGTCTCCTAGACTGTCCTATAATCTCAAAATAGGCTTTTATGTTCTCCACCTCTGCTTATTCTGTTAGTACTACCTTACTTACTAACCCCTTTCCATCAAGTCGCTGTCTAAATTATAACTGTACCTGGCCTACTGAGGCTGTCCAGCTTTAAGCAAACCCCATAGAATATGAGAAACCCACTCTTACATCCCTTGAATAAAAAGCATGATCTAGGATCTGTGAAACTTGATGGGGCAGGGACTTGTTCTTTATGCTTTTGTATAAGAGGCAAGACAGAGGATGGACTCTGGAGAAAGGCATTTCTGTTTCTTGTAGCTCAAAGCTCTGTAACCTTGGGCAAGTTAAGTTTGCTGAGATTCAATTTTATGTATGAAATAGGAATAGTAACAACTGCCTTATATTATTGTTCTAAGGCCTGAGATAGTATGTGAATAAAGTACTCACTGTGGGTTTTGGTGTGCAGTCAGTAGACCATGCTAGCTGGACCCAGCTCTCCTGGAATAGTAGATGCTCAATAGATGTTGAAGGACGGTGTAGATTCAAGGCTCCATAACAGGATTATGTCAAAACCCCAGTTACCAGGTTAAGATGGTTGAGCATTGAGGTCTAGTCCACAGCCTGGATGTGTATTGTACAAGACAATAACACAGCTGATAGCCCTGCTTGCTAATATGTTAATGTCTTGCTTTCTGTATTGTTATTAATAAGACTTAATATTCCTGAAATTACAGGACCTTGCCCACAATGGGTTCTCAACAAATATCAGATTCGATGTTGAATCATGTAAATATATACGCAAATATCCATTTAAAAGGGTCTTAAAGCTGTATGGCATAGTGGAAAGAAAAAGG